CATCGTTTATTTCCATTGTGATTGGAAAGCAGCAAACAGCCAGAAATAGGAACTGTCAGAGTTTAACCTCAAGGAAAGGAATATTCCTTGAGCTTTTCTCAGACCAACTACATGTGACTGGAACCAGAACCTGTGGAACAAAACCCAGTGGTTTCCAGCATGGTCCTGGTAAGCTCAGAGGTGAAGCGGTCAGGCCATTGCCACCTGAATCTGCACTAACTCTGTGTGTGGTGGGGTGGCTGCTAAGAGTGGTAGGGTGGGAATGGCAAGGTGGGTTTAGAATGCTCTTGTTGCATTCATTGCACAAACACTTTGCTTGTTGAGAGCATCTCTGTACTAGATGTTCTGGACCACACTATACCCTGCGTTTCACCTGGGCAGTAGGAGCTTTCATTCCTCTTTGCAGGTGAAGGACCCAAGCTGTAGAGGGCCTGCTATTGAGTAGTAGGCACAGGATGCCAACCCCAGTCACTGCCACTCAGCACTCCCTCTTTCAGTATTACCTTGAATTTAAGTTTACGTAAAGAACTTTGAGTGTGAATCTGGTTTGTGCAAGCTGTCAGTCATAGATGTTTCATTCAGAAAGGGACAGATACACCCCTGAGTTCTTTCCAGACCTTGTTCACCAGAATGGGAGGGAAGTGCTCACACAAACACACACTGAGCCCGGATACTTGTGCTCCCTGGAGGTGGCTCCTCTCCTCATCCTTGGATCAACTGGCTCTAGCCTCTCCCCCAGGTCTTTCTTCTGTCTGGCTTTCCTGCATCTTCACTCTGGAAGAATTAGTTGTCTCTTGCGTGCCTCAGAAAATCTCCCACTCCTCTGTCTAGCATCTCTGCATGTGAATCTCTCATTCTGTTTTAAGCAACTTGCAGACAGGAACTGAGTTTCCTTATCTTCAGATCTTCTCACCACTCATTGTGAGTATTCTTAGCCTCAGTTTTCCCTCTTGTTTAGTGTGATGGCAGTACCCGGCTGGGTTGCCAGAAAAGGCCTGGTACTTTGGTATCTTTGAGTCTCAGTAAAGCATTAGTTTCCCTCATTCTTGAAGGGCAAACTGAGTGAGACTAGGCCCATGCTTACATAGGGGGAGGAGCTTGTTTGAAACATAAAACAGTTCCCAGTAAAGGAAATGTCAGAATTTCTGCTAAGTTTTTCCATCACAAGAAAGGAACCAAATGGCCTTTTGGTTCAGCAGTCTGAAATGCTTTGCCTTCAGGAGGAGTAGAAGGTAGAAGGTGAGGCTGGGTAGGGGCTGGGTGAGGGCCATTGTGGGCTAGTAGGTGTGCAGGAGAAAAGTGGAGGGTAGATGGGTAGCAATGGTGGTGTGCACCTTTATTGAAGCTAAAAAGTTCCTGCCCTCTCTCCATGGTTAGGTAAGTCTGTGGCCTGACTTCCATTTTGAGAACTCATTTGGAGGTTCTAGCAGGGGCACGGTCCGCCTCTATTGGGCAAGGTTGTCCTCTTTGAGTGAAGATGCTGTTTCAGGAGGGACACGCATGGATTGGTAGAGGGATACACTCACCTAGCTAGTCAGATCAGCTGAATCAACCCTGGTAATCAGTGGGGTGACAGATGTCACAGGAAATTCGCCTTCACATCCTCAAGTTTTCTTTGTGTTTTGTGCTTTTGTGTTCCTTCTTTTCAAGAGGATTCCCCAAGACTGTTTAATCTTCAGGCCTCTCCAAATGAACATCTACCTGGGGATGGGTGAGTTGCGCAGCCAGCATGAAATCCTGGGTGGTGGATGAAGGGAAGGCTTCACTTGGTTAAGGGTTTCAAGAGTTTAGCTTCCGGTTGAGATGATGTCATTCCCTGGAAACCACAGAGTTGTAACAAAAGCTCTTGAAAACGTTCTCACCACAACTTGTTTATGTGGTTGTATGGATTGCTGGTGATTAGAGGAAGGGTCCAAGTTCAGTGTTTTGGAGGTAGGAAGGGAACATAAGGTGGCTGGGCTTACTTAGGGACATTATGCAAAGCCTTCTGCAGGTCCTTGCACAGAGTAGCAAGTCTAACACCTAGTGTGCCTGAGCGAGATGAAGAAATATATGAATACAGCAGGGAACCAACAACTGGTCTGCAAAATCTGGAGATTGTGATATGAAACTTAGAGGAGGTAACTTAGAAAAATGCAGGCTCAGGACAAGAATAATGTGTTTTTCTTGGGCTATAGACAGATTGGACCATCTTACTTAGAGAAATGGTGAAGACTGGAAATGCATGTCATGCTGAGGTTTGAGACAGTCATAAGAATAATCAGGAACTTTTTGAAGTCTGTAAAATCTCCCGTAGGATCTCCAGAAACATGTAGGGAGGGGAGTTTTTAGAGTGTGTCAGTCTGGAAGATATAGCCCAATCTTTTCTGTCTTCCTTCTTTTCTCCTTTCCTCCCCTCTCCTCTCCTCCTCTCCTTTCATCTTTCTTTCCAAAAAGTAACAGACCCAGGAGACTCAATGCCGCAGGGCCCACGTCTAGTGCTCAAGCAATTGCTCAGGACATGAGCACTGCAGGTGTGCCCTTGGTAATCCAGCCTGGTGTTTCCTAGCTTTCTTTCCCAAAGTCAGTGTTCAGTGTTTAGATTTCTTGCTGCTGGTGTCATCTGGGAAGTGAGTGGGGTGAGCCCAAGTCCTGGGCCTGGCTTTGGTGGGCAGCTTTGTGCTCTGCAGGCACATGGCAGCAGGTCAGGTCTGAGGCAGACAGATTTGGGAGAGGCTGTTGCTGGCTGCTTCTGCAAAACCTGTTGACTGCTTAGCTCAGGTTTCACCAGCCCAGGCATCTTCTGGGAGGCCCAGGCCCTATTTTGAGAAATAGTCACAACGAGGTTATCAAGTGTCATATTTTCAACAGAGAATTAAAGGCACCCAACACTCAGCTCTTAGTTCAGAAAACATCCATATGGAAACAGGCCAACTCCAAGCTGCTGTCCCTGCCCCTGTCTTCATGTCTTTCTGGCTCTCTGCTATTTTTGCTGACGGTTATCTTGGGTTTTAGAATAACATCATCCTCAAAAACTTGCTGTTTCTGTTTATTTTAGGCAGTGGAAGTTGTGTATTAACAGATGAAGAAATAAGATTGTGAGGTGATTACCTTTGGGGTAGTAAGTACATGGTATAGCTGTTTATAAGCAAATACACTACACACTTGTATAAAGGATGGTAGTGAAGTCAACTGTCCAAAAATCAACATCCCCAAGACCTCAGCATGGGGCATCTCTCATGGACAGACATTTCTCTGAGTCACAATGTTACGTGAGTCCATGGCCCCAGGGAAAGGGAGTTGGGTTCATTTTTCTGAGAAAATCTCCCAGTTCTGCAATGTTCCTATCAGTTACTGGCTTTGTGGAAAACTGGCTAGTCAGATTTCACTGCTTTTCAGTTATGTACAAAAGTAAATAGAAATAGAGCAGCCTTATCGGTGAGCAGGCGTGATGCATTTCAGAGTATACAGCATCCTAGTTAACTCCTGCCTCTGCAGTTTTTATCTGAGGAGTCGTACTCACTTGGTTCTTTTTTTTACACTTTGCTAAAAGGAATTTAATCTAGCTCTGTTTCTTTTTTTCCCACTGGAGGAAAAAAACACACATTGTGTGATTTGTCAAAAGCAAACGACTATCCTTAATATGTTCTTGCCTGCTAGGTGTGGCATTTCTGTTCTGCCTGTGACAGTACATGAATTGACTTTTTTTCCCCCTTTGCCAGTTCTCGTAGAAGACCTGGAGGAAAACTGTAGATTTTGTCATGGGACTTTGGAGCTGAAATCAGTGCCAATTTAGCCAGCATTGTCTCCTATGATGCTGACACAAAACCAAAGAGTAGTAGCCATAAATAATTAGAAAAATGTTATGTCCCCGAGAAAGTGATGAAATCATTAAATTAAATCATAATTAGTGTTTGTAGATTAGCATGCTGGCATATTCAAGAACTATTTGTTGTTTATATTTATTTGCTCCTATTCCTGTTGTGTACTGTTTGTCTTTTCCATAGTTACATGTTGTATAATTTTTTCCTGGTGGGTTTTGCAATTATATACTTTAATACCTTAATCAGTGAATGCACACATAACATTTCTGGTATTTTCATGGGATGTGATTATGAATGGTCAAAGAGCCCAGCAGAAATTGGGCAAATATTTTAGACTCTGTCCTGGACAGATAATGAAGCCTTGGCAGAGATACAGCAATGAGATGCAGGGAGCAAGGCTGCATGGAGAGCTCTTTGTTGGGCATCATTAGGGCCTAAAATTCAGCAGACTGTGAAGTCTCTGGGGGATATGGAGCCAGGTGGTATTGGGGGTGGTGCGGTCTCTATGTAGTGAGGAAGGTTGGAGGAGGTGGGTGTCTTACTGGGGACAGCTGGTGGGCACAGCCTGTAATTTCCCATGGTGAGGGAGAGGTGGCCCTGAACTCTGGGACTGCTGGCCAGGTTATGTGGTTGATCCAGTGACACTGCAGCCTAAACACAGAAGATGGTAGTGGTCAAAGGTTGGGATGAGCCTGAGGGGATAGCCAGGTCCCTCCATCCCATCTTTGTGGTCCTGGGATGGTGCTGTTTGGTAGAACCAAATATATCTTTCAAGTTGAAAAACCACAGTCACATAAAGATTGGCTACAAAGAAAAAAATAAAACAGTTCTCTCTGAGAATAATTAGGCTTTCTTCCCAGGAGAACGCCTCCACTCCCACACCAGTCAGCTTCATCCAAGAAGGTGTTGACCACATGTCAGGAGGAAGAAGCAGCGTTGCTGCCAGACATCCTCATTCCAGATAGGCTCTGCTCTTCCCACAGTAACTCATGCTTTCTTCTTTTCATTCTCCGGGTTTAGAGAACAATTCCCTCACTACCATTCTGCAAAATGACTTGTGAGTTTGCTGCTGGGAGCACAGGGAGCAGCAGCTGCCCCGCCTGTGCAGGCCACCAGCTCCAGGGAAGCACTGCATCAGATGCCACTCATGAATAAGTCACGGGCTGGGGCCGCTCAGAGGCTTCGCTCTTCCACCAGGGCAGGCAGTGAGCTTATGCTTCTCCTTTACCTCTGAGGACTGTGCTGGCTACGGTAGAAGAAGACCAAGCAAGCCCACTCCAGGTCAGGCCACAGGACGGCTTGTGATGTATGCAGACATTGCCTGGTGGTTTGGAAATCAGTAAGTTTTATCCTCTGATTTATTTCATCTCATTTGCAATGCTAAAGCCTCAGTAAATTGTCACTGCCTGTATTTTGTAAGAAGATATCCTTTTTCTATACTATACGACAGTTTTTATCCAATCCTTTAGAGCAGGGACTGTGCTGCTCAGCCCCAGGGTGGAGCCTTTGCAGATAGCTAAGTTATCCACACCTTTCTTAACTCACTGGGAGTTGGGTAATAGCTGTGGGACTCAGCTCTCAAATGTTCCTCTTTGAATATTTCCTTGATGTGTGCTAAGATAGCAGTGTTCCCACATATATAGGCCCTGGAGTTTAGGGTTTGGTGAGGGTTATGGATAGCTTCTGTTATTATGTCTTAGAGAATCCTATCTAGAAAGCTAATCTTTTTATGTGGAATTACTGAGAGCTTCCCCTCCCCTCAGGTCAAAACTGTGAAATTCTATTGTGAGTAGGGTTTCTTAGTCAGTTTTCCATGCATTTGCAACATAAATGGGCTTTTATTGGGCATCTTGAGGAGGCAGCTTCTACTTTGTCCTTACAGAGATAAGATTTTCTCTTTTTAATCCCCAAAAGTAAATCTGCTAATCACAGTAATTGCAGTGAGGTACCACCAGTCATTGAGCACTGCCTGTGTCCCAGCACCATGCAAGAAACATCATGGTATCCTCTCATTTAATCCTCATGCAAACCCCACTGGAACCCCACCCCCCAACATCTCCCTGTTGTCAGCTTTTGGAGAAACAGGCTTGCAAATATGGTAGCTGTCCAGATGAGGCCCCCTGCCAGAGAATGTATGGCTCAGGAGTTCCTAGGCATAGAACTGGACTTGCTGGATGGTTTGCAACTCTAAGAGGGTGTCCTGGAGCAGACTTCCAAAAGATATGCCCTGCTGTTGTCCTGAGATGTGGTGTTTTATGGGTAAAGCTATGTTCCTGGTTTCCTGAGTCAGTGTGGGATTTATTATCTGTCCTGCAAACTGCAGTTTGACTGTGGCCACTTAGTCTGCCTCTTTCATAGACACATGTCCTAATCCTTACTTATTTAGATCTTCTGTTGAATGTGTTTCTCTTGTTTTAAGTTTTGTTTTTAATGGCAAAGACAGTGGGATAAAGCTTTGGGAGAATTTCCCTGATTGCCCTTCTTCATTAGAAAGAGTTCTTAGAAGGAACATTGCCCTGAGCTCAGTTGGTGCTGAGCTCAGACAGAAGGTGTTACAGGAATTCTTATCCTGGGTTTCCTGTTCTTCTGCATGGTTTGCAGAAATCATGTATATGCGAAGAAGACTTGGTGCATCTTAGGTGGTGAGGAGGTCCATGGCTTAGAACATGTTCAGAGGAGCTGTTGGCCCTATGGGCATTGAAAAGCCTTCAGGACTGACCTGGGCCTGTCGCATCTCTGCCACCTGCCTGACATCACCCAGGATATGTCCTCCCATCCTCCTGTCACTCTACCTCTCCCTGCATTTCCCAAGGCAGTTGGAATACAGTCCCTGAGACTTTGTCTGACCATGTGGAACCTTAACAATGAATAAAGTTCTCAGGGAACTAATTCTATTTTCTAAGACTCCACATCAGAGAAGAGGGTGTATGTCCTGATTGTGTGCTAGAAACCTTGCCAAAGAATGCCCTCTTACCCCATCACTCCCCTAACAGGTGCTGATGCAGGACACAAACATTCTGATACATGGATTTCTGTGTTAGCTTGTTAGTTTACCCCAGGGTCTTTTGGTTTCAAGAAGTACTTAAAAAGGCAGTGGTGCATAATGGCTAGAGGAGTATCTGTCCTAGGCTCAGAAACACGGTTTGAATTCCCATCTTTCTAGAAGTGTGTTTGGAAGAAAGTTGCTTGGTTTTTGGATTCTTCATCATCTCATCTGCAGAATGGAGAGACTAAACTTGTCATATGAAGTTGATGTGAAGATGTAAGTGTTTGGCATGAAAACTGGCTCATAACCATTCATAAAATAAAAGCTGGAGAGCAGGTGAATGTCAGAGATGAGGGGTTCAGTGCCCGATGCCCTCAGTAGTGCTTGACTCTCCTGTGTGTATCGGTTTCTGGACATCATCTGTCCAAAGTCAGACAGTGATGGGACATCTGGTCACAGGGAATTCATGGCCCCACAGCCGCTCCTCTACTCAGTCATTTCTGAACTACCTTTTCTGGGCCCAGCATTTTGCTTGTTAGCAATAAACAAGAAAGCCATGATCCCAGTTCTCTTAGAACTGTGGTTGGTAATGAACAGCCAAACCAAACTCAGAGGCAGCTTGTGTACCTCCTGGAATGAAGCAAACAGTGTTACCTCCAGGAGAGAAAAGTGACTCCCTTCTTTCTGCCTGCAGATGAACAGACCGTGAAGCCAGGCTTGCTGCATGGAATGGCTACTAGGAGGGGATGGGTGTGCTTGGTTCTCTCTGAAATTCCCTGTGAGCAGGTGCTATTCTGCAGCTGCCAGCCAGAGTAGGCACCATGGGTTGCACAAATCATGTGGCACATAATTAGAGAAGCTGGTGTTAGCAGACCATTGGCCTCATTGTCCACTGTTCTTGGATGATACAAAATGTTATGCCTTCGTGTCCCCAGCTGATGTCTCCACCTGGTGAGACAGAAAAACCACAAAGCAGAGGCCTTTTGGATTCTGATCTGGGAGTGTTGGGAGTGTAAATTTTCCTTGTTCATTCTGCAGTATCTGGGTGCCCCGGGCTTTTCCCGACTAGCTGGGGCACCTGCTGTAGCCGGCAGATTTTGATTCTAATTCAGCTGCCTGCACCCCAAACCTGAGATTTGCATTCACTGAGCCATCTAGCCCATGTCTTCTTTGATTCTCTGACTTTCAGGGAGCAGATCTCCAGCATTCTGCTGCACATTGAAAATTCTCAGAATTAAACCCAGCAGGGAGCTACCCGGTTGAGGTGAGAATTAGCAAGCATTGCCCAGAAACTTGGTGGATGTGTGATGGTTTTAAGCTAGCATTATTTGGAGCTATGACTGATGACCTTTGAAATGCCAGAAATGTTTTTATTTATACTTTTCATTTTATACATAGTTCCTGCCAGGGCACACCCAGCTTTTTAACCTAGAGGGCCCACAAGGAATTTTGGTTGTGTGCTTGATGATTCATCCCTGAAAATCTTTGAAACCTGGCCCTGCTCCCTGCTGAGGTGAAGAGGAAAGGAAGGAAGGCCTCATTTCTGGGCCAGCTTGGCATTAGCTACCTACCATGGGCCTGCCACAAGGAACCAGATGAGGTTCTAGCTCCAAGGGCTTCCTCAGACTTGTGGTCTTTCTAAACTGCTATGTGCTTCTAAATCTCAATTAGACTTAGCAGCAGGATGTCTGTGCATATGTTAGAAAAGTGTCACCTGCTTGGTAATGCTCATGATTGTTCCCAACTGAGTGAAGATGACTTGTGAGAACCACAGAGAACAGTGGTTCTCTGCTGGGCCAAGCCAAGCCACTTACAGGTGGAAGAAGCCATGGATTTTCTATTTCACTGAGACCATATTCTGTGGAGGCCAGAGTTTACCTTCAGAGAAGCCACACCTGCAGGCACCAAGCTGGGAGGAGGAGCCACTTGATCTGTCTTAGGGGCAGCCTGCCCATGTGCACGGCCTTGGCAAACATTAACCCTACTCCAAAGTTCTGGTAGACGCTCTTTTGCTGGAGGAGCCAGAAGTGAACCATGGCAAGGCTTTCTGACCCTCCACTCAGCCTGTCTCCTCTAGCAGAGCTCCCTGTCCTGGGAGCCCTGCCTTGTCCCATCCCCATCCCATAAGGAGCTCTACCCTCCTCTGGCTCTGTATCTTTATCTCCTCCCCGAAAAGCCTCTGAGCAAAGCAAGTTGCTTGTGGGGTTGGGGGGCATGAGAGGCAGAGGGTGCCTGCCTAAGAAGGAGAACAGTGAGGGTGGGCAGAGCATCCTGAACTGATAAATTTGTTAGGATGAAAATTTCATTCTAAGTACAATTTTTAAATTGTGCTAAGAAACTCACAATGTAAAATATACCACATTAATCCTTTTTAAGCATATATATAGTTCAGTGGTGTTGTCCTGTATCCATCACCACCATCCATTTCAAGACTTTGTTCCTCTTACAGAAATGAAACTTGCTTCCCATTAAACAATAGCTCCTCTTTCCCCTTGTCCCCTAGCCTCTGGCCACCTCCTGCCTGTCTCTGTGAACTGAACTATTCTAAGTGCAGTCTATAGTACTTGGACTGACTTATTTCACTGAGCATCATGTTCTCAGAGTTTGTCTATGTTGTAGTATATGTCAGAATATTCTTCCTTTTTGAGTCTGAATAACACTCTGTGTCGTACATTCACTGCATTTTGATTATCCATTCATTCGTTGATGGGCACTTGGTTGCTTCCACCTTTTGTCTATTGTGAATAATGCTGCTCTGAGCGTGGTGTACAAATACCTATTCAAGTCTCTGCTTTAAGTTCCTTTGGGTGTATACCTAGAGGGACTTGCTGAATCCTATGGTAATTCTGTGTTTAATTTTTTAAGGAGTGTCTGTATTGTTTTCCATAGTGGCTGCACTATTTCATACTCTGCCCTAGGAATACACAGACACTCCAACTTCCCCACATTCTCACCTGCACTTGTTATTTATTTATTTTTTTAGAGGCCATCCTAATACTATCTACAACTCAACCCAATACATTGGCGGTGGTTTTGAATTTACATTTTCCTATAATCTAGAAAAGTAGAGTTGGAAGAGAGATGAGGACCCTATAATCACCCCTGATCTCGTTGATGTGGAAACTGAGACTCGCCTGAAATACATAAGCCCACAATTAGCACATCCTGGGCACACAGTGACAGAGAAATGTTCAATGTGTTCTATATTCAGGTGTAGCCTTAGAGCTATTGCCCATACCTTACTCCAAGTGTGATGGGCAGATGGTAAGGATGAGGATGAAATTGAGAAATGAGTCCCCTCACCCCCTGCCCAGACTAGGAAGAAGCTGCCATTTGCACTAGGATTGCCTTCA